TGCCGCAGGCGCGAGGACCACGAGCCGCAAGAGGAGAAAGTCTGAGACTAACCCTGGAGGCATCCCTCTCTCCTGCAGATGGGGGAAAGTCAGCTCGGGCAGAGGGGATTTCCACCGGGAATGTCTGGATTTCCCAAATCCACTCCCTCAGACAGCGGGACTCACCACGGCTGCTGCACACTTACCTCCTGCAGGCAGGAAGACCCCTTGTTCAGGGTGAACCCCAAAAGCCAGACCCAATTTCCTTGCTAGAAAACAACCCCTGGGAAGTGAGTCCCAAAGGATTTGGGCCAGGATTTGGGGCAAGCATCCTTGCCGGCTGCTCACAGGGGGAACATCCCTCCTGTGCAAACCACCCAGAGGGATGAAGCTCCATGGGGACACCAGCCTAGCCACTGAGATTCGGCACTCACCGAGGCTCAGCGCCCACCGCCCAGCCTCGGAGCTGGCTCCCAGAGCCCGGGGAAGGAGGGAAGGAGCTGGCAGGAGGTCGGGGGAAGCACCCTGCTGCTGCTGCCAGCCGTTTCCTTGTAAAGCCAGAGCAAGAAGTGGTTACAGCCTGTTTCCTCCAGCGCTGACCACTAACCCGCTGCCCTCCTCCTCTCTCCTGGAGCCAGGAGCACCCGTCCCATCTGGGACAGCACGACCGGGGTGGGGAAAACAGCCTGGCCACGGTGTGCCAGCACCACGGGGTGGGGGGCTCCGTCACCCGAAAGGCCATCTGTGCCCCCTCTCACATCCACGCTGTCTTCTCTGCATTCACTCACTTCCTTTTCTACCCTTACCCGTCATCCTGCTGCTGCTCTTGGTCCCTTCCTTCCTTCTTTATCCATCTAGCTCCGATAAGCACCATTTGCTAGCTCGAAACCACAGCTGCACGCTCGAGGCGTGCTTCCTGTGGCGAGGGGCCGGCTGGCCAGTCCCAGAGAGCATCTTCCCCATTTCTACCTCCCGGGGTCCCATCTGAGGTCCCTGCTTTAGCTCGAGGAAACCGAGGCACCGAGGGATGCTCGCCCGCAGCCCCGGGGAGGAGGTCCCCAGGAGGACCAACCCGTTCCTCGCAAGTTTTAACCAACAAGAAATGAGGCTTTTCCTCCCAAGCAGCCTGCCCAGCCCTTATCCATGTCTGCTCCCAAGCATCGCACATCCAAATTGCTGCCTGCCGGGATGACAGCTGGGATAAATGGGGAAATTTAACCTCTTGTCTATCCTCAGCAAGAGCTGAAGCTCAGGTCACGGTACCCTTGTTCCCGCATCCTACCTACACAACAGAAAACCACCCCAAAGCCACAAACGGGAACGAGGTGTGACCTCCCACCGCCAAGGTAAGCAAGCCAACTGCTGTTTGGCACGAAGCAAGGCACAGGACCCACGCAGCATCGGGTCCCCTGAGCTCCTGGCCACACAAGTACACACACCTACGGTGCCCGGGACCCCACGGGACCCCCAGCCATCCTCCTCGGCTGACCTGCCCGTAACTCCCTTCCTCTTGCAAAGGTGGAGGACGCAGGGGTGAGCTGGGAGCAGGGCACTGCCGGTTGGGTTGGAGCATCCATCCTGGCTCTTCCCCTTCTTCAAATGCAGCTGTGGGTGAGTAATGCCAGCGCGCTCCCCGCTCCAGCACCCAGCCTTCGCCCCCGGGGCCGTGCTAGCAGCAGTCCGCCCACGAGGGGCCATCTGCAGCTTCCCTCCCCGATGCAGCGATCCTGGGGAACGCAGGGCGTTTCAAGTAAAAGACGGCTCTTGCTAAACCCTGCGGCTCAGAAAAACACATCCGAGCGCTTCCGCCCTTGACTCTGCCTTTGGTATTTTCAGGGAAATGCTTGCAAAGCCCCCAGCCCGACTTTGAGGTGATGAAAAAGCAGCATCTCGGGGAAAGGGAAGAAAGTCCAGCGTCTGCTGAGCCCAGCCTGGATTTTGGGGAGCAGAAGGAACAGCTTGGATGGGGTGGGGTGCACAGCTAACATCACGGTCTGTGCTGGGACATGGCCAGAGCGTGGGAAGGGTTAGGGAGAGCTGGCCCGGCTGGGGGAAGTCCCGCAGGGAATCTCCAGCACCCAGGGTGTTTTGTAATCCCGTGGTCCATTCTCTGCCCTCCTCCGTGGGTGTTTTTGCAAGCTGGTGATAATGGGGCAGGGTCGTGTCCCTCATGTGACAGCGCCTGCCCGCTCCCTCCGGCACCCGGGGAGGGAACTCGGCACCAGGGAAGGGGTTGACATTTGGGCCAATGTCACATGCTGTCCCTGCCTCTGACCTGGGAGGAGAGAAATCCCCTTGAAGGGCTTGGTGTGGCCAGAGGGACTGCCGGGTCTCCGCTGCTGTTTGCCACGGGACCATTGCACGATGTTCGTGGCGGATGGGAGGGCTTCGCCTCCAAGGATGGGACCAAGTTTAGGGGCGACATTGGCTGCGAGATGCCTCGTACACACCGAGTTGTGGGTCACTGTCTCCTTGCAGAGGTCCACCCGTGGTCCGTGTGCCCTCCCGGAGCGGTTTTGGACCCCGGTCCTTCGCTGCAGAGACGGGGCCGGGCAGAGGAGCAGAGTGGGAGGCGGGAGGGCAGCCAGGGAGCTGGGCAGGAGCTCTGCTGCAAAAGGCCTTTCCCCTTTGCTTTCGAAGGCTTTCCAGGTCAAAAGTGCAGCTCCGATCTCTGCAACTAGTGCTCTCCCAAGTCAACGCGCCGCTGTCGCTCCCGGCTGCCGGCATCCAGCTGGGCTCAGCTACAACATCCCTCCCCTGCGCAGGATGGGAACCCCCCCAGACCGGGCTTCTGCC